TAGGTGACAGGCCCAAGGTCACCCAGTGAGCTTCATGGCTGGTCTCCCTGGTCCTAATCCAGCACTCTAACCACTGCACCACACTGCTGTGGGAGAAATAGAATGGGAGACTAGATGGAACTTGGAACCGCATAAGCCAAAGGTCACAGGGCATAAAAGCTGTTTCCCAGCACATGCTTCTAGAACCAGCATTGAGAACCTGTGGTCCTCCTGATATTGTTGTACTCCAACTCCCATCAACCCCAGTCAGTGTGGCCAATAGGCTGATGGGAGTTGTGGTCCAATAACATCAGAAAAGCTACCGGTTCCTCATCCCTGTTAAAGAACTGCCCCCCAAAAAACACAAAGTGGCAGCCCCATCCCCACCTGAGCAAGGCAGCCTAGAAGAAAGACATCTAGTGGTGAGGCAATGCACTCTGTGCATGCTCAAGGAACTCTTGATCATTTCCTAGGACCGAACTTCTTCCCCTCCTTCCTGTCTAAAATCAACCAGCAAATGCATTTTGTGTCTAATAATCGCGATCAGCTGGTTTCATGAGTCTTCACGCCGGGATCTGCTCACAAAGCCATGCTTGTTCCACGCCATGTGTTATCTTGATTTTATTTCCCTGGCAAGAGCCTGATGTTTGTGCAAAGGGAAACAGGCTGACGTCCTTCCGCCCTACTGTAAATTAAACTTCTTGGAGTGGCGCAGTTTAATGAGCAGGTTTCCTAGAAGAACAGTGATGTGAACTTAGCAGCTTGGTGGGCGAGAGCTCGCTGACAAACATCGCAGAATGAGATGGAAGAGCGGAACTTCGACTGCATGCCAAACAGCTTGCTGTGGGTTTTTCATATCACAACAGGCCGAGGCAGCTGTAGCCGGGTGGCTGGAAAAAGCCACAGGACTAAAAGGCGCATCTGCACGGTACATTTAAAGCACTAGGATGCCACATTAACAGCCATGGCGTCCCTCAAAGGATTCTGGGAACTGTACAGAGAGTTGTTTAGTCCCTAAACTGTAAGAAGGATTAATTATTAAACCACTCTGAAAATGTAGCTTTGTAGCGGTTGTTTTAAACTCTTTTTTTTTATAAAAAAAATGCATTGGTACCTCGGTTTTCAAACGTAATCAGTTCCGGAAGACCTTTATACTTCCGAAACGTTTGAAAACCAAAGCATTTACTTCCAAAAGCATTTACCGTACTAACGGAAAACTCAATACGGAAGCTGCGTGGTACGTTTGACTCCTGAAAAACGTTTGAAAACCGAAGCAATTACTTCCGGGTTTTTGGCATTCGAAAACCGAAACGTTTGACTTCCGAGACATTCAAAAACCGAGGTACCACCAAATCATATTCTTTATATATGCACCACTGTTTTATATGATGCAGTTGTTCTCTGAATGTTTTTATTGTCCTGTAACTCGCCTCATGGGAAATTATTTAGAAATGAAATAAATAACAACTTTGAAGATTTATTTGTATTGGTTAATTATTATTATTATTACCTTCATAGCTTACCATTCCACTAATGAGCTCAAGGAAGAATGCATAGAATCATAGAATCACATAACTGTAGACGCAGAAGGAACCCTGAGGGTCATCTAGTCCAACCCCCTGCAATACAGGAATCTCAGCTAAAGCATCAATGACAAATGGCTACCCAACCACTGCCTAAAAACTCCCCAGGAAAAAGCTAAAAATCACCGCCTTCCCAAAGAGCAGTTCCCACTCTCTTCTTACCTTTCCCGCCCCAACCTGGCCACAGTGATCCATGCGACGGTCATCTCCAGGCTTGACTACTGTAATTTGCTCTACGCGGGACTGCCCTTGAAGCTGACCCAGAAACTCCAGCGGGTGCAGAATGCTGCAGCGAGGCTCCTCATGGGGTCTCTGCCATGGGAGCATATTCACCCAGTGCTTTTCCAGCTGCACTGGCTCCCGGTGGAGTACAGGGTCAGATTTAATGTGCTGCTTTTGACCTTTAAAGCCCTTCACGGCCTAGGACCATCGTAGCTACGGGACTGCCTCTCCCGGTATGCCCCACGGAGAGCCTCAAGGTCCATAAATAGCAACACCCTAGTGGTCCCGGGCCCTAAGGAAGTTAGATTATCTTCAACCAGAGCCAGGGCCTTTTCATCACTGGCTCCGGCCTGGTGGAACGCTCTGCCTCATGAGACCAGGGCCCTGCAGGATCTGATTTCTTTCCGTAGGGCCTGTAAGACAGAGTTGTTCCGCCTGGCCTTTGGCTTGGAGCCAAATTGATTCCCTCCCTCTCTTTCTTTTTTCCTTTCCTTCTCCTCCTGCGATGAGGCTACATTTTAATATTTTAATGTTTCAATATTTTAATGTTGTATTTTAATTTTGTTTTTAAGTTGTAATCATTCAACTTGTTTTTATTATTGCTTGTAAGCCGCTCTGAGCCCGGCCTTGACTGGGGAGGGCGGGGTATAAATAAAAATTATTATTATTATTATTCTCACAACAGTGGCCGGCCGGCCAGGGGTGGGGCTAAGGCCAAAGAAAAGAGGCTGATCCTTTTGATCAAGCCTCACTTGGTTTTCTTCCTTCCAGGATCACCCACCCACCCTCCCTCAATTAATAATTTCTTGCCTTCAAATTATTTCATCCTAGGTCAGCGATCACCTGGCCAAACAGTCAATCAGTTCCCTTGGCTGCTCTAGCTGCCAAATGCAAAAAGAGTGACTGGCGTTGCCAAACGCACACCAAGCCACACCACATGGCTGGTGAACTGCATTCAGCTGTGTGGGTCACACATATTTTGGCAATACAGTGGTACCTTGGGTTACATACACTTCAGGTTACATTCGCTTCAGATTTCAGACTCCGCTAACCCAGAAATATTACCTAGGGTTAAGAACTTTGCTTCAGGATGAGAACAGAAATCTTGCCGTGGCGGCACGGCAGCAGCGGGAGCCCCATTAGCTAAAGTGGTGCTTCAGGTTAAGAACAGTTTCAGGTTAAGAACGGACCTCCAGAACGAATTACCGTATTTTTTGCTCTATAAGACTCACTTTTTCCCTCCTAAAAAGTAAGGGGAAATGTGTGTGCGTCTTATGGAGCAAATGCCGGCTGCGCAGCTATCCCAGAAGCCAGAACAGCAAGAGGGATTGCTGCTTTCACTGCGCAGCGATCCCTCTTCCTGTTATGGCTTCTGAGATTCAGAATTTCCTTCTCCAAAAACTAGGTGCGTCTTGTGGTCTGGTGCGTCTTATAGAGCGAAAAATACGGTAAGTACTTAACCTGAGGTACCACTGTACATCACTATTTACAGCAACGTTTTTATTTATTTATTGCATTTATACCCGACCTTTCCCTTCAAGGAGCTGAAGGTAGCATATGTGGTTCTTCCCCCTCCTCATTTAGTCCACACAACAACCCTGTGAGGTAGGTTAGACTGAGAGGTTGGCCCAAGGTCACCTAGTGAGCTTCATAGCTATGTGGGGATTTGAACCCTGGTCTCTTAGGGCATTCTGCATGTGCTGTACCAGCCCTTCCCTGATGAATTACTCCACAGCTGTGATGTCACTGTTATACTCAATGCTCTGCAAGTATCTTCTAAAATACAAGTTGAGAGAGAGAGAGAGATTGAATATCAGGGTTTCTGAAAAGCAACCTGGAAAAAAGCATATCCTCCAACATTTCTCTGATGAAAATTGGGACATTCCATTGAAAATTTTACTATTTTAGCGGCAAGAGTCTTGATAGCACAAAGATGGAAGAATGAGGAAATCCCAACGAAAGAGCAGTGGCAAGAAAAATTGATGAGCTATGCAGAGTTGGCTAAATTGACATACAAACTGCGTGATAAGGACAACTGTGACTTTAAGGAAGAATGGGAACTTTTTACAAATTACCTAAAAAAACACCAGAATGAACTGGACTCCTTGGCAGGTTTTGAATAAACATCCACAAATTTATTGCTTGATCACATGATAGATAAGGCAAGGATATGTATAATTTTATAACATGCAGAGAATAATATGTGTAGAGAAATCAGAGAGAGGAGCTGAGGGAAGTCCTTGGTGGGGGGGGGGGAGGAATTTAAGGGGGGTGGGGAAAAGGGAAAAAAATAACATATATGATTATAAGGTCTAATAATTTGTTATGTTGAAATTGCTTAATAAAAATATTTTTAAAAAGAAAAAGAAAATTTTACTATTTTTATTCCACACAACTTACTCGGTTGCCCCAGCCACTCTGGGCAGTTTCCAACACATATAAAAACATAATAAAACATTAAACATTTAAAAAACCTTCCCTATACACGGCTGCTTTTAGAGAGCTTGGGGGGTCGGATAACTCCACACCGTCCAACATTTCTCTGATGAAAATAGGTACCGGTACTTCCTAAGGAAAAGTGGGACATTCCGGGATCAAATCAGAAACCGGGACAGCTTCTCTAAATCAGGGACATCCACTTGGAGGGTCTGGCAAAAGTAGTGTAGGTGACAGTCACCTCATTTGTGGGCTGTGACATGTCAGAGCTTTCCTTATCTGCTGGCATCTGTGTGTGAAATTGTTGTGTGAGACAGTGTGGGAGAGAGAGACTTACTACTGCAGCGGAGGTGGCGCAATAAGAAGCAAATACACAACCACTTATTTCTAAAAGTGGTTGGGGCTGCTTTCAAAGATGGTTGGGAAACTGCAGCAGGTTCAACAGCAAGATTAATGGAAAGATGGCCTGAGCATATAACACTAGTCCTGGCAAAACTGCAATGGCTACCAATTAGTTTCCAGGCTTGATTCAAAGTGCTGGTTTTGACCTATAAATCCTTATGCAGCTGTGGACCCCAATAACTCAAGGCCTGCCTCTCCCCACACAAGCCAGCCCGGACCCTGCATTCATCACTGGAGGCCCTTCCCTGTGTGCCCTCTCTGAGAGAGATGAGGAAGAGGGTGAGAGGAAGAAAGGGCCTTTTCAGTGGTGGCTCCCCACTTGTGGAATGCTCTCCCTGGTGGAGCACACCTGGCACCATAATTGTGTTCAGACATCAGGCCCGGGGTAGCTCAGTTGGTACAACATGAGACTCTTAATCTCAGGATGGTGGGTTCAAGACCCACATTGGGCAAAAGATTCCTGCATTGCAGGGGGTTGGACTAGATGACACTCGTGGTCCCTTCCAACTCTACAATTCTTTTTCTATTTATCCAGGTTTTTGGATTCCTAATTGAGAGAGCAGCAAGTTGTGACTGTGGCCTTTTCCTTGTTCATGCTTGGGATGGGATGTTCCTTTATATTTCTTGTTAGGTCTTGTTTTATTGCTTTTTTGAAAACAGTTGGCTTTAACGTTTCGGTTATTTCTGTTCTTTATGATGTCAATTGCTTTGAGGCACTTTTGTGTAAAAAGAAAAGAAAAGGTAAATGGACCCCTGACCGTTAAGTCCAGTTGCGGATGACTCTGGGGTTGCGGCGCTCATCTCGCTTTACTGGCCGAGGGAGCTGACGTTTGTCCGCAGACAGCTTCCGGGTCATGTGGCCAGCAGGACTAAGCCGCTTCTGGCGAACCAGAGCAGCGCATGGAAACGCCGTTTACCTTCCCGCCGGAGCGGTACCTATTTATCTACTTGCACTTTGACGTGCTTTCAAACTGCTAGGTTGGCAGGAGCAGGGACCAAACAACAGGAGCAATGGGATTCGAACCGCCGACCTTCCGATTGACAAGCCTAGGCTCAGTGGTTTAGACCACAGCGCCACTCGCATCCCATTTGTGTGTGTGTGTGTAAAAAGCGACAAACAAATGTGATAAAGAAAGAAAATGACAACGTGCTGTTTAGCGTTTGTATTTTGTACCCTTGTGTGTGCATAATTATCCTGATGCTGGAAGCAAGAACATAATCTTGCCCATGTTTGTTTTTTTCTAGACTGAGGGTGGGGGAAGGGAGGAGAAGAATGTATTATTATTTTTTATCTTGCTGATGGTCAAGTCAAGATCTGCCAGGGTTGTTTTGACCAGGGAAGTGGAGCTGGCACCTTGTACTATCCATGACCCCCAAGTCCAAACTACCTGAGTTTGCAACCTCATTTGCATTATAAAATAGAGTCATTCCAGGACAAACATGGGCAAGTCCAAGCAATTGTTGCCTAGCTGTTACCAGCTATGGCAGTTACCATATGCCAGGAAAACCTCCTGGGGCAGCCGCTACTTACCTTGGTGTTGGTGGGGAGTCCTCAAGCATTAGCGGCACATTTACATTGTTAATAGCCAGTGAGCCTGCAAGTTACCATAAGTCAAATGCCCTTCTGTGACTAATCAAGGCTTAATGAGTTCTGTCATTCCATGGACCTGAGTCAAGAAGATGCAGGGGTACATGCAAATGCACTGGCCGAACCTATCCCAGTGCAATTTTTGGCTTGGTAAAAGGTTGTGTCCAAGTCAGGACATAAAATGGCCCTTTTGCACATGGGAATGGCAGCTGGTCAGGCTTTTGTTCAGCCTCTTTAATGTCAAGCTGGGAGTGCAGAAATGAAGATACACAGTGGACACAGAATATACACACAATATACACACAGAATATATATACACACAATATACACACAGAAGATACACAGAATAGGAACTTAATTCGTTCCGGGGGACCTTATGAACCCCGAAAAGTCCGCAACATGTCACCGGTGAGGGCCTTTGAGTAGTTTCTGTGGATAACAATTTTAAAAGGGAAACTGATAGATAAGAAAATATTATAAATAAAAAGACAATGGACAAATATAGGCAATAAGTTTATTAGTACAAAATGGAAGAGATGGGAAGTCACTGATTTATGAGGAATATTATGATTTTAAAATTACATCTTTTTTCTTTTTTGTGTACACTAATGCTTGCCGATCTATGATAATAATAATTATGAACATACTTTGAAAACAGGAATATGTATAATTGTAAAGTAGAGACATCACCTTGCCAACAAACGTCCGTATAGTAAAAGCTATGGTTTTCCCAGTAGTGATGTATGGAAGTGAGAGCTGGACCATAAAGAAGGCTGATCGTCGAAGAATTGATGCTTTTGAATTATGGTGCTGGAGGAGACTCTTGAGAGTCCCATGGACTGCAAGAAGATCAAACGTATCCATTCTTAAGGAAATCAGCCCTGAGTGCTCACTGGAAGGACAGATCCTGAAGCTGAGGCTCCAATACTTTGGCCACCTCATGAGAAGAGAAGACTCCCTGGAAAAGACCCTGATGTTGGGAAAGATGGAGGGCACAAGGAGAAGGGGACGACAGAGGACGAGATGGCTGGATAGTGTCTTCGAAGCTACCAGCATGAGTTTGACCAAACTGTGGGAGGCAGTGGAAGACAGGAGTGCCTGGCATGCTCTGGTCCATGGGTTCATGAAAAGTCAGACACGACTAAACGACTAAACGACTAAACAACAACAACTAAAGTTATGATGTAAAGATATACTTGTGAGTATTAAAGGAAAAACTAATTTTTAAAAAGTCTGCAACATGAGGCACCGTTTTTGCGCACGCACACATGCACACGGCGCATAGAGCGCTTCTGCACATGCGCACAGGGCGAAACCTGGAAGTATACACTTCCAGGTTTGCCACATTTGCAAACTGGAAGTTACATTACCTGAAGGTAATGTAACCCGATAGTATCTTTCTCTGTACACAAAAACACACACTCACAGACCTTCTGTTGTTGCCTATTTGTTCATTTAAGACATTTATATGCTACTTAATTATTCACTTTTCCAAGCGCTGTACAAACAATCCAGATAAAATGGGGTATAGAATCACAGAATCACACAATCATAAAGCTGGAAGGAACAACAAGGGTCATCTAATTCAACTCCCTGCAAGGCAAGAATCTTTTTGCCCGACGTGGGACTCAAACCCATGACCCTGAGATTAAGAGTCTCATGCTCAACCAACTGAGCTATCCTTCACAACAGAGAAAACTATCATAAAAACAAACACTGCCTTAAAATGCCTGCTGGAACAAGAAAGTCTTGGTCCCTCGTCTAAAGTTCAAGGAGGGTGCCGGTCACAGTGGTCTGCCCCTATGTGACAGACTCTATGGCTGCATCTGCACAGCTATAAAAAAGCGCTCTGGAAACGCTCTGGAAAACCCCCGTTTTAAAGCTCACAATGGGAAATTTCATAGAGTTCCAATTTCAGCTCTACAGCGCCGCCTGGTGTCACAGTGTTAAAGCACATTTATAACGTTTTATTTTTACTAATGTAGTCGAGTCCTTTGTGGGGCTTCTCCTGTGCTTGATCTGGAAGCTGGCGTTAGTGCAGAATGTTGCGGCACGATTGTTGGCAGGAGTGAGGCCTTGTCAGAATATAACTCCTTTGCTCAGAGATCTGCCCTGGTTGCTGATTTGCTAGCGGCCCAGTTCAAGGTGTTACTGTTAGTATATAAACCCCTTAACAACTTTGATTGGCAGAGTTGGCCCTACTTTGGGTGCCACATAATACCTGCTCATTTTTAAGAACACGCTTGCGTTGAGTGTGGCAGCAGCTACACTTGGGAACTCCCTGCTAAAAAACATTCTTGTTTAGACGAGCCTCCCCAAATGCTTAGAAAGTTGATTGAAAATGTCAAGTAAATCAGATCAGTAGTTGGGTTCCTGTTGAGGGTATTTGGCAAGCCAACATGACCGTGATGAGGATTTGAGGACTGGCGTGATTGTTCTGTGGTATTATGACAGTGGACAAAGCTGAAGTGTAACTTTTGAATAAATGTGCTTTTAATAATAATAGAAAAAGAAAGTTGAGGCAATTTTATCTGTTTCAGTACTTTAACTTTTGTTATGTTTTAAGGTAGGGTTGTACATTTTCCTTGGTTTTCTTGTGTTATTTTTTGTGTGTAAACTGCTTTGAGGGTTGTTGTTGTTGTTTTCAATCTAGTGATGCAGAAATGTTAATAAAGTCATTAATTAATTAAATAACAGTGTAGCTGTATCATTTTGCACAGGCGGAGATTCCAGGCCAGGAACAAGGGTAGCCCCACAAAGTACAATAAGGTGTTTGGTAAGGTTTTTTTTGAGATCAGCTATGTTCTCTGATATAGATCCACTTCCTCCCTCCTATTAAGGAATTTGGAAAATTCCACAATTATGCTTGGCCTTGGAATAGGGTGGTCAGACAAGATCTTTTGCAACTCGGCCAAATTCCTGGCTTCTGTGGTTGCACTAAACTTCTTAAAAGGGGAGTAAGTTTTACCGCCAAAAAACACTGAGAAATTTTGCTTTTCATCACCCTCAGTTATTTCATTAGCAAGGAAAAGGGGCCCCAGTTTTCCCACATATTTCTGCCATTATTCTGTTTAAGGATTAAATTCCTCAGTTTTTTCAGAGGCTGACATGATCATATTTTTGTTGGTGCCCCTGTTAAGTTCTTATTTAATATAAGGCAAGGTTACTCTGTAGGCTTAGAACAAGAGGCTGGTTGCTGATATAGAGGCTAACAGGCAAAACTACACAGGAGAATAAAAATTGCAGGCACATGCGCTAAACCCTCTCTGTGGTGCCTACCCTTTTCCCCAATGAATGAGACAAGAGACCAGAGTATGGGTTCAAATTGGCCACAACTTTATTGAGCTTCAGAAATGGGAAACTTGGCACAGGCCTTGGCAGGTAACTGAGGATATGCAGGCAGATGAAGTCCAGTGAAAAGCGACTGTAAAGCACAAACTTACATCATGCCCTTCCACTAACCTCGTCCCGGGAGTTTGACCTACATGCCGCTGCTCTAGGACCAGGGACTCCCGGTTTTTGCCCTTTAACAGGCCCTGCAAGTGCCGCCGCTTGGGAAGGGAGCATGAATGCATCCCCCCCAACTTGATGATAGACTGAAGGATACCTTGCCAAGGCCTAAAACCGCCAAAGTTGTGACGAAATGCTACAGGGAAGGCGAAACCTGCCAATGCAGGGGAAATTCTTTCCCAGTTCTGAATACAGCTCTGTAGGCTTACGACGAATCTTACGACCGCAGCAGCGCCCGCTGACCTGGAATACAAAATATTAGTCTGTAAGGACAAAGTATTGTTAACTTGATGACCGCTGACCTAGGATGAAATTATTTGGAGGCAAGAAATTATTAATTTGAGGGAGGGTGGGTGGGTGATCCTGGAAGGAAGAAAACCAGGTGAGGCTTGGTCAAAAGGGTCAGCCTCTTTTCTTGGCCTTAGCCCCACCTCCAGCCAGCCGTCCATTGTCCTCCCTGGCCAAGGGCAGGTCAAAGGCCAACCCAAGCAGGTGGCAGGCACCCGTCCAGGTGAACCCCTTCTCAGTGCCGCAAACCCTGCCCACCTGTAGGGAAGGGAGGGTGGAAATTACACACACACACAGCTAAAAGATGGCATCTTCCTTCCAACCCATAAAAATGGGGGATAATGTTTAATTCTATAATTACTCGCTGCTTTCATCATCACTCGGTAGGCTGAATAGTTGCAATGCCCTGTGGCTGAATGCAATCAAACGTTATCTGACCTGAGTCATGCTGCTGGTTCATCTAGCTTAGAGCTGTCTCTTGCAATGATGAGCTTTGTAATAAATGTGTGTGTGTGTGTGTGTGTGTGTGTGTGCGCGTGTGTATGAATCCCGCTCGCTGTCTTGGCTTCTTTGCTCTTTGGGGCTGGGGGGGGGAAGGGGGAAAATAATTTTTTTCTTTATTTCCCCCCGTAAAAACTAGGTGCGCCCTATGGTCCGATGCGCCCTATGGAGCGAAAAATACGGTACACACACACACACACACACTGCTTAAAGTTCAGATGAGTTCTAAGCAGTTTACAAAACATAAAAACCGACTGCAAAACATGAAAATACAAAATAATTAAAGGCAACGCCGTAACAGAAACACGATTAAAATGTACAAGGAAGCAATCTCATTGCAGCATTAAAATATACAATGAAACAATCCCATAAAAACAGTGCAACAATTAAAGCAGACGACTATGGTCGAGGGAGCAAGGCAATTCCTGCGTAAACAGGTACTTCTTCAGAAGCCAGGGGCATGTCCGTATGAATGGGCCTCTTGCATTTCAGCAAGGAAGGAATCGCACAACACCAGCGAAAAGGACCACATCCTGACACAAAACCCCACACGTACACTATATAAAAGAATATAAGCCTCGCCACCCCACCCCTCCTCTCCCCCCTCTTTCCCCCCAACCTTATACTGCCTCACAACAAATGTAACTGATTTCTAAGAAAGACTGTACAACCTGAAAAAAGAGACAAGGCATGTACTTTTGTAAACCAAGAAAATAATAATAATAATAATAATAATAATAATAATAATAATGTAAAAAAAGGTAAAGGACCCCTGGATGGTTACTTCCAGTCAAAGGCGACTATGGGGTTGCGGCACTCATCTCGCTTTCAGATTTTGAGGGAGCTGGCATTTGTCCACAGACAGCTTTCCGGGTCACGTGGCTAGCGTGACAAAACCGATTCTGGTGCAACGGAACACCGTGACGGAAACCAGAGTGCACAGAAACGCCATTTATGTTCCCGCCACAGCCGTACCTATTTATCTACTTGTACTGGCATGCTTTCAAACTGCTAGGTTGGCAGGAGATGGGAGCTCAACCCATTGCGGGGATTCAAACCACCGACCTTCTGATCAGGAAGCCCAAGAGGCTCGGTGGTTTAGACCACAGCGCCACCCGTGTCTAATAATAATAATAATAATAATAATAGGACCATGACCACATTGCCCAGAGCTGCCTTCAATATTCTTCAGGAGCAATACTCTGGAAAAGTTCAGAAACTGGCCCTTTCTGCATAGCTAGAGAACCTTGGGAGATGTGTTAGATAAAATCAGACACATCTGCCTCAGCATTGCTGACACTGCTTGGTGTTTGCTCTCCAGGATATCAGACAAGGGGTCTCTCACAAATCCACCTGGAGATTTCTGCTAGAACCTTGGCCTGCATGCTTGGAAAGCAGAGGCTCATACCACATAGTGGCAGCCCTTCCCAGATAGTTCTCCTTCCATTCTGCCTGCCTGGATGCTCTAAATGACCCTGCTAGTATTTAAAAACAACAACAAGAATAATAATAATAATAATAATATCGTTTCCCATAGGGAGAGCTGAGATCCCAGCTGTGAAATATTAGCATTTATAAGGTGTTGCCAAATGCTCTCGGAGCTGTAGGCAGCAAACACACACACACACACACACACACACACACACACACACAGAGGCGATTTAAAAGGAAGGAAGAAAAGCCCTCTTTCACCAGGCCAGCAAGAAGAAGGAGGTCTCACTGCCCTGGCGGCATCTGCAGAATTTGTCAGGCAGGGTGGTAAAATGCGATGGACGGCAGGACGAGGGAAGGGAATTTTAAACAGAGGCTCGTGACCTCATCCACATGGCCTAGGCAGTCATTCATAAAGGGTGATCTGTGCTGCAGAGTATGAAAACGCAGAAGTGTGAACACAGCAGAGGCATTAAGGGCCCACATGGAAAATAGCGTATTCTGTGTTGGAAGGAAGCGAGTGTGTTTTGATCCAAGGTGTTAATGGGCTCACCTTTCCCCCTGCGCAGGAACAGGAATACCTGAAATATATGAAAGCATCTCTAACGATGTGGCGTTTCTATTTAGTATGTGCCGGGCAAAAAACATTTCTCTGTGCAGCGTGGCTTTTCTTTTTTGTACATTTCAAAAAAAACAAAGCATCCTTTGGACGGGTGGTGACATGACTTACCAGCCCTATTCCTGCAAACTGGATTAATCCATGAATTAATCAATGGCAAGTGTTCATGTGGAAGTAAGTCCCACTGAGTTTAGCAATGCTTATTCCAAAGTAATAGGAAGGAATGTATAGGATTGCAGAAGGGAAGCCTTCTAGAATCAGAATTGTAGAGTTGGAAGATATCCTGAGCTTTATCTAGGGTGGAATCTGCACACATACTGTATAAAAAAACACTGTT